CCCCCAAGTGGCAGAACACCAGGGTTTGGTCACACATGTGGGCTTGGTCACAGATGTGACCACTGCAACCCCGGTAGTTCCACCAGTGCCCAAGACTAAGCAAGCATTTAACACAATCTACTTCTATTTAATGGCTTTGAAAAGTGTTTTCTAAAAAAATTTAATTTTTCAAATATTTTTTCATTTGTCATCCAATCATCATAAATTTGGGGGAATTTAATAAAACATTGTCGAGAGAAAAGCTTTATTGTCTTTAAAAAGGAAACAATAGGAGATGATTTAGCTAGCCAAATTAGTTATTTATGTATAAAGCACCAAAGATTCACTGTAGGTGAATCACTCATTAAAATTTAAAATACGTGTACCAGTAAAGATGCACTTCTAGTGACTGTTTAGGTGAATGTGACATAAATAAATAAATATGCACCATTTTTGTTCTTGTCAAGTTAACAGATGCATTCTGGACCCACTGGACATCGATGCTTCAATGCCCTCTGGTCACAAAAGGATTTAATGAAACTTTGAATATATTTTCATCTTCTAAAAATATGTTTTTTTTGTATGTAACACTTACCTTTATTTCTGGCATTAACTTCATAATTGTTTTATTGTCATAGCTCATTACTAAAGTAGATGTAAAACCCTATCTGGGTGACATTAGTTTGCTTGTGTATCATAAATCATTGTCATGTTTTTGATTTTTAGTAAAATATTTGTTTTCACCTTTCTTTATCCATCAATCTAGGGCAGTGCAACTATACAACTACCCCAAGTCTGACCCCACTGGTATACCTATCTTTTTTTTGTTTGTTTGCGATGGGTGTGCAAACTAACACCGAAGTGAACCAAAAAAAATACATGGGAAGCACACACAAATAAAGATGCCCATGGGTGTGTCATAGTTGGTCCTTCTCCTGAAGAGAAAGGGCCCTTCCCTGTCCCCCCAGGGCATAAGGCTCTGAAGAGGCGCAGAGCACTATGTTCCATCTAGCTAAAGCCAGATGGACCCCTTTCCTCGAGGTCGACCACCAAGTACTGGGTTAGGGACTCTCCCAAATAGAGACCCTCAGATCAGGGGAGGAAGGAACCTAATGTCCACAAATCCTCCCCTAGACTTCAGGGTAGCGCCAAAGACCTACACCCATCATCCTATCATGACATTAAAGGAGAAGCAGCCTGCACCCTTTCCAGCTGTGTGTAATTTTCCCTTTCACCTTTAGCTGGCACAGAGTGTGTGCAATCTGTTATCGTTTGCATCTGCCTGCTGCTGGGTGTATCCTTGCCACATAGCAGAGCAACCAATAAGGGAATATTATGAGTATCTATGTCTCCCTGACCAATCACTAGGAAGTTCATGGCCAGCGTTACATGCTGGGAGAGGACATAAATATTCAGGGTGGACCTTGTGAGGTACTCTTCTCCCCTGGGCCCTGTCTGGGGGGGGGGGGGGG